TATATAGTGACTTTTGCAACATGTTTTACATACATACAAAATAAATTAACAGTACCACAAAAGCCCAACCACTTTCCTACACTCCATGCCATCAAAACCAAACAAAATTCAGCAAAAATAGCAATAAAGCAGAAGTTTCAGAGGAGGACTCCTTCTACAGTGTTCTTTGGGACCTAAATCTCAACAGGTCACAGAGCTGTTGTGTTTAACTGTGGCCAGTGTAAACATATCTCAGAATTTCAGACCACTCATGATGCAACAGTACTTTGTGAAACTCAGAAATACCAGCTGCTTTGATTTACAGCTTTATTCACCAAATGCTATATATCTTTGTTTTGTTTTGAATCCTCAAGTCAACACAAGTTTCTGCTTCCATTATTTCTACCGTTACTTAAAACAGTAGAATAAAAATGAAACAAGGTCTGTATCTAGATACATCCTCATTACAGCTTGTAATACAAAAAAGAAAAAAGAAGATCCCAAAAGTGCAGTTAGTGTGAAGTCTGAGTAACTCCCCAGCTCTGGAAAACACTCAACTACCTGTTTTTAATAATTTCCTCTTATATTTAGAAGACTTAAAAAATTGAGATACAATTCACATAAGATAAAATTCCCCATTTTAAAAGTGTAAAATTCAGTTTTGTTTTGTTTTGTTTTTTTTAGTATACATACAAGGTTGTGCAAACATCACCACTATTTCTAGAATGTCTAACACCTCAAAAAGAAATTCCATATCACTAGGTATTCCCTTTTTTTTTTTTTTTTTTGCTGGTACTGGGGTTTGAACTCAGGGCCTACCTGAGTTCCAGGCAGGTGCTCTGCCACTTGAGCCACATCCCCAGTCTAATTCCCTTTTATTTTTGAAGTGCTACTTTTTGAGATTCTTAATAGCAGGCCTTGGATTTCACAGACTGTTTTTCTATAGTTTTTAACTTTTTCCTCCAATTCCATTTTATCTATATTCTGGGATACTTTCTTGACTATATTTTTTAAGAAATTTAAAAAGAATTAAAGATTTCAGCAATAATATTTTCATTTCAAATAGTTTTGTATGTTTCTTTTTTAAAAACATGATTGTTTATTATTCTGTGTATGTCAAATAATTTTGAAGCTTTTCTTATTTATCTACTTTTTCTTCTAATTTTTCTGTTAGTTTAGTTTTGCTCATTTTCCTTCATACTGTTGTTTTTTCTCATATGTTGCAAAAACACTTGGTTGTCCATTCACATTTAAGGGAGAAGGATAGAGAAAGTGTCCTTTCCAAAAAGGAAATGCTGGAAGGACAGGCCAGGAGCAAATTAAAATGGTTACTAAAGTGAGGTATAGGGCATGGCAGACGAGGGCAAGTGTACTACTTTAGGGTGAGTAGGTAGGGAACCAAGGTTATAAGGCTGCTGCAGAATCTTGAATTCTAGTAGACATAAGGGTTATTTGTAGCATCACTATCTACACTGGAAATCTCAGTCTTTCTGAAACATTTTGTTAAATTTCTTTTCAGAAGAATTATCTGGTGTTTTACATGGAAGAAAATGTAAGCTGCCTGAGTGGGGGTGGGAGTAGGAAGAGAGGTAAGGACACAGTAGAAATACACAGCAGCTTGCCATTTACAGTCATTCTATTAATCTTTCCTGTCTCCAGTCCCAATTCCCACTTCTGCTCATCTCTGTCCCTTAGACATCTTTGGCGATCTATTGGGTTGATCAAGTTTCTAGTTTATAGTATTCTCTAGGCTGTTACTTCTTGGCTTGTTTCCTCATTGAACTCACTTCTATTCACTTTGTAACTTCTAGGGATTTATGGAAGTGTCTTGTTTATTGGTGATACAACTTATCTGGTTCTTTTCGTTGTTTTGGTAGTTCTAGCTTTTATTTTAATAGACTCTCAAAGAGACAGGAGTCAAATGCTGAGTCTTGTCCACCATCTTGTAACTTAGTACTTTTAAGAGAAAAATTTAACTTTCTATAGAAACTTCCAAGGATACAAAAGGACCAGTCAGTTTTATTTTCTCTCATCTTTTCACAGTGGTTGTTATCTATAAGGAACCAAAGTGATTGTGCAAAATAAACAGTATTTAACAGAAATTTGATGATTATGAGTTCTCTTTTTTTTTTTTTGGTGGTACTGGGGTTTGAACTCAGGGCCTATACCTTGAGCCACTTCACTAGCCCTTTTTTTGTGATGGGTTATTTCAAGATAGGGTCTTGAGAACTACTTGCCAGGGCTGGCTTTAAACCACGATCCTCCTGATCTCTGCCTCCTAAGTAGGTAGGATTACAGGCATGAGCCACCTGCACCAACTTGACTATGAGTTCTTAACTTGTATGTGTAGCAACTTCTATGTTCTGTTACTGCATTTTTTTTTCTGGGGGAGAGTTCCATTATTTTCATTATAGTTCTAACAGGTGAAGAGCCATAGGACTAAATGAAATGAACTCTCTCAAACAGGGTTAGAAGTTAAAAATCCCAATTCCATGATGATATGCTTAGGTTTCAGATCTTAAACTATGGGTGTTTAAATCATAAAAAATTAACATTTGAAAATAATTTTAAGGCAAAGTAACCAATAAACAAATGACCACAAAATATGTTGGAAAGTTGTGGGGTTTCTTTAAGAAACATTTTTGAATGCATTATGCAGTAGCTTAAACAGAAAAAAAAAATCTCACTTGGGGATTTAGCTTTTATGTATAGTAGTTGAGAGTGCTGAGAGGTAGGGATGCCAGACAACTTCCCAACCTGATGCTCTAGATAGCAACTTGGATCTCACTATTGAGGTACAATGTCAAGTTTTGTACTAGAAGACTCAGTGACTAAAAAAGATCTAGATGCTGATTTCAGGGTAGGTCAAAAAGTAACAAAAAGAAAGAATGATTGATATATTAGCCAAGAGTACAGGGTTCCTACAAAGTAAAACTACTAGATTTAACTCTGGTTCTTTGAAACACATTTTGCTGAATAGCAAGTAAATGTCAACTTTTGGGCTCTATGCAAATGGTATCTGGTCATACGGCAGTTCATATAATAGTATAATTATTTCATATTTTTCAAATAAGTAAAAAATTTAAAAGCACATTAACAATAAGAAGCAGAGCTGTATACAATGTATGATTTCAATTTTTTAAAATTAACCATTGCTGTCTGTTCAAAATAGATCAATAAAAATGAGTGCATGTGCAGAATTTTGTGGACACAATGGCTATGATAAAAGTCAGTCACACAGTGTTTTTGCACATATTATATATAATAACACTTAAACTCTAGGCTTCAGATGCTTTGGTTGAAATTCCTGAAGTGAAAGGAAGAAGTAATGTTCATTAAAGAGTTAAAATGAAATGGTTTTCTTTGGTTCAATAAACTAAAAGTAAACTTTTTTCTGATGACATCTTTAGGACATAGGGAGCAACATCTGAAGATGAATGATCACCACATAATTTTATGTGTAGATTATTTACTTAGGACTGAGATAAATATACCTTTTTTTAGATAAATCTCTACTTTCTTTTGCTTTGTTCAAACAAGTTATTGCTGTAAAGGTTTCAGTTAATCAGGGTCACAGTTCATTGTGGTTTTACTATAAAATCAAAAGAAACTTCAATGACCTACCTAAGCGATGAAATCCAAAGGTGAATCTTCTGGTTGGTGACTTTGAAGACAGCCATAAAGCAAGCAGGGTGAGTATGATAGCACTTAGGTCAGTTAACATATGAAGCGCATCTGTCATAATTGCTAGACTATTTGCAATGTAGCCACCTTAGAGTAAGGAGACAGGGAACAATTTTTAAAAATGTAAATAATCAATCTGAAATACTTAGCATTCCACAAAATATAAATTGTGAACTAAGTCTTTATCCTTCTACAATTAAATCAAAGTATTCTGAAAATTTTATGCAAAATATTATATGTGTACAGTCATCCTTCAGTATATGTGGGGGATTGGTTCTAGAACCCCTATTCAAAATCTGTGCATGTTCAAGTGTCTTCTACAAAATGGTATTTTTACATACAATGTACACATATCCTCTGTATACTTTGAATCATCTCTAGATTACTAATAACATCCAATACAATGGAAGTGTTGTCATTATACTGCATTGTTTAGGGAATAATGACAAGAAAACAAATCTGTACATATTCAGCACAGATGTAATTTCTTTAAATATTTTTGATCCATAGTTGAGTCCATGGATGTGGAGCCCATGGATATGGAGAGTCTGCTGTACAAATTTCTGGTGATAAAGCCCATTTCTACTAAAAGATTTTCCAAGGAGTCAATAACTTTAAAAAAGTAAAAATTGCTAAATTGGCAGCAAACATATAAAGAGAAATGTGTTTTAGTACTACAGCTTTTGCTCAACCTATTAATTCTATTAAACAGTGAATCAATAACCATGATCCCTAAATCACAACAAAGCTGAAGAAAACACGTGTTCACTTACTGAGGAGGGGTTGAATATTAAACAAAACTGAAGAAATCTATAAAATGTGCATTAGCTCAACATAACAGGTAAAAATTAATTAATCTGGACATGGATAGCAATGTCTCTGAATAGAGGAACAAAAGATGGTACTTAGAAAACAGGTTCTGATTGACAGTAAAGTATAAGAATAAACACTGTTTACATGTGCTATGCTCTGAATATCTCCAGCAAAACTCATGTTGATATTTAATTCCCACTGTGAGGTATTAAGAGGCTGGAAAGTTAACGTGACCTTTGGGAGGTAATTAAAGTTAAATGAGGCTGTAAGGGTGGGGCTCAATGGGACTGTCACTTTAAAAGAGAGACTGAATGAAGACACTGTCTCACCACGTGATATGTGGCACTGCTCTGGGTAGTGTAAAGAAGGACCTCACCAGATGTGATCTTAAATTTCCCATTCTTCAGAAGTATGAGCTGAATAAACCCTAACTTGTAACTCTACAAGTTAGTCTGTGGTATTCAGTTATAGTAACAGAAAATGAATTAAGACATGTTATTAAGGTTTGGTCTGCGATTTCAGGCATCCTCTGGAGATCCTGGAAGACGTCCCTCACAGACAAAGGGAGGACAGATTAAGGTTTGGTCTGCGATTTCAGGCACCCTCTGGAGATCTTGGAAGGCGTCCCTCACAGACAAAGGGAGGACAGATACTGCATGTGAATCTAGACTGTATTTAAAATTTTTGCCTTTTCTCTGTTATTAGTCATATTTTTGACTCTACTCTGCAAGAGTACATTAATTCACTTTCTAACTTTTCTCTAGAACTTAAGAAAGTTCTATTATGTTTTTATTGTTCAAAAGCTCTTTTCTTGCTGGTTGCAGTGGCTCATGTCTGTAATCCCAACTACTTGGAAGCCGAGATCAGGAGGATCAAGGTTTGAGGACAGCCATGACAAAAAGTTAAAGAGACTCCCATCTCAACCAACAAGCACAAGCTTGTGTTCCCAGTTGTGTGGAAGGAGTAGGTAGAAGGACTGCAGTCCACACCAGCCTGGGTAAAAAGCCAGAAGACCCTATCTGAAAAATAAAGTAAAAAAGGCAGGAGGCATGGCTCAAATGATTAGAGTGCATTTCTAGCATGCACAAGACCTGGAGTTCAAACACCAGTACCACCACCAAGAGAAAAAAAAAAAAAGCCTGACTTTCTTTTTTTAAAGTAACCTGTTCTTACTTCCTGGATACATGATTTTCTCTTATTTCTGAGGATAATAATTATATAATTATATGATCACAACTGGTTGTTAAACAGATTCTAAGTAGCTTTCCTTAATTTTAGCCTTTCTCACACACACTTCCAGAAATACCTGGTACAAGTAGTAGTACAACTACTACTTAGGATTCTCTAGAGTAGTAGTTCTCAAATGTGATCCCAGCATTCCCTGGGATCTCTTAGAAATGCAAATGGTCAGATCCTATTATGTGTGGATACCCTAGACAAAGTCATGATTCACATCCTGCAGGATGGAGGTGGAAGGTGTGAGATTAAGTCACAAAACTTAGAACTGTGAGCAATTTAAAATTTATGGATTATTTATTTCTGAAATTTTCCATTTAGGATTTTTGGACTGTAGCTAACTAAAACCATGAAAAGCAAAACTATGAAAGTGAAAATCAAGGTAAAGGGAGAGAACTACTGTACTTTGTTTCCCTGGATTTTGAGATACCTGTTGCAGTTCCACAGGACCTGGACTCTGTAGGTAATTTTGCCCATTCCTGTGGTATCACTTACTGCCTCTCTATTTTGACCTCTCTGCTGAACCATGGACTCAGATTTAATAACCTACTACACATCTCCACTTGACTATTTCATACACATATGCAAATTAACATCTCTAAAACAACCTTGGACCCATGCCCAAATCCTGCTCTACATTCTCTTCCCACATTATAATGATTTTTATTCATCTGGAGGATTAGATGAGAAACTTCAAAATCATTCCCGACACTGCTTTCAACCCCCACATCCAAGACATCAGCTAATTTTATCAGTGTTCTCTCTGGATGGTTTCTTCTTTTTTGGTGGCACTGGGGTTTGAACTCAGGGCCTCATTGCTTGCTAGGTAGGCACTCTACCACTTGAGCCACTCTGCCAGCTAGACTCAATCAGTACATTTTTCTACATCTACATTAGTCTAAGCCATAATTGTTTCTTATCTGAACCTCTGCAACAGTTTACTTGCTCCCATTCTTATACCCAGTGCTTTCTTTACAAGACAACCAGGATAATCGTTTTGAACAGTAAATCCTGTCATTCTGCTTAAACCATTTACTTGATTCCCATTGTACTTAAAAATTCTCAATGTGTCCTTTCAGGACCTGCTTATCTGGTCCTCCTGCCTCTTTCCTTCATGCTTACTACATTCCAGTCATTCTAGCCTTCTTTTTTAGTCTCTTTTAAAGAATTGAAGGCTTTGGGACCTTTGTACATGCTGTTCTCCTTGCTTGGATAACTACTATTCTTTTGGTTGAAATGTACCTGGCTCATGCATAAGCTATGTCCTATTGGTACTATTTACAGTTCTCACTCTTTTTCTTCATAGCACTTAAGACAATCAGCATTTAAAATTTAACTGTGTAGTTATTCATTTAATGTCTGTCTTCTCCATTAGATTAAATGTTTCAGATAGAAGAAATCGTAATAGTTTGGTTCTCTATTATATATCTAGAACATGTAGCATAGTGCCTGGTATACAGTAGGCACTCAAATAGTACTTACTGAATGGAAGGAAGAAAAGAAGTGAGCGTGTCCAACATCTTACAGCCAATTAGTAGTAGAACCAAGATTCAAAATCAAGTCTCCTCTTTCAGGTCTTTAAATTACTTCATATTTTTATTACTCCATACTTCCATAGGTGCTTTATTTCTAAGTGCTCTGGACACATTTGAACAAATATTTTATATATTCTAAATCTATATAACATTCTGAACATTGCTGTGAATGCCTATCCTATGTACTATCTCTGCATTATTTAACGAAAGATTCTATACTTGAAAATAAAGTCATTATTTGAAAGGAAATATTTATTGTGGTTTTCACAAAACAACATTTACCAAGTAAGATATTTCAGAAATGAGAAGATGGGTCAATTATACCTTAATAACTTTTACTTAAGTGAAATAACATCTAAATTAATTTTAAGTGGGGAAAATTGTGATTGATGTGATTACTTTAACTTCAAATATTAAATATTAACTTAAAAACCACAAAGTCTGAATGATTTAACATTACAGTCACGTGAATTTGGGCAAGTTACTAAATCTTAGTCTGCTGAGAATATGCCCCATCTGGTAATGGCTTCTTCTATCTCTGAAGTTCTTTACAGTTTATAATTCTCTAAAAGAAAGGAATTATTCAACAAAAATTATTTATTGAGTGTCTAATTTGTGCCAGTTAGTGTTGTAGGTGCTGGGAATTTAGCTTATATTTCAGTGGAGGAATAGAGATATTAAATAAAGACACAACAAGATAATCTCAAATGCTGAGGGTTTTGAAAGTTGAAGCGGGAAAAGGGAACAAGAGATTTACTCTAGAAGTCAGGAAAAGGTCTCTCAAGGATGTCTTTTGAGATGAGACAGGAATGGCAAGGAACTAACCAAGAGAAGATTTGAGGAAAGGCAATTCCTGTGAAGCTCTGACCTAAAAGAGGACCATGAAATTAGTTTAGTGGGCTGGAACATAATTGAAAAAATATTAGAATACATTGCATAAAATTGTTTCAACTATGCATATATTTATACACATGTGAATGTGTATATGTACATACATAGGTATGTATGTATGCCTACATGAGTCACAATGTTAAGTGTATTTCTTACAATGGTGAGGTAAAAAATAGTTTGCAAGCCACTGAAGAGGAATCAACCACTGTGAAAACCTTAAGCACAGGAAAGAGTTATGTGAGTCCTGTGAAGAGAAAGATCAGCATGGCTGAAGTAAACACTGAAGAAGAGTGGTATGAAATAAGGTAGGAAACGTGTATTATTTTTCTAGGTACAACTTCCAGTGCAGCATTTTCAATCTGGGCTGCCAATTCTATTCTTGTTATGGTTGATCATTACAAGACAACATGGGAGTATCATCTACCTGCTTTAACATCACTTTATAAACTATTACTAAGAGAAGTTGGCAACTAGTCAGCCCCTTGATCTGAGGGTTTTGCATCCTTGGATTCAACCAACCATTGAAGGAAAATATTTGAAAAAAGAATAATGCTACATCTGTATTCAACATGTACAAACTTTTTTCTTGTCATTATTCCATCAACAGTATAACAACTATTTATACACCATCTACACTGTATTTGGTATTAAAAGTAATTTAGGATGATTTAAAGCATATGGAAGGATGTATGTGGGTTATTTGCAAATATCTGAATCATTTTATACAAAGGACTTAGCATCCTCAGAGTTAGGTATTCAGAAGGGGGCGTGGAGCCAATCCCCCTTGGATATGGACAACTATACACTAACATGATGGTAAAAATAATCAAGTTAAGACTTTATCTTATATATGTATTTGCAATAATTAAAAAATGAATAAAGCTCATAAAAGTGTGGAGTCACCCTCTGCTTCATTTCAGATTCTCTTTATAATGAAAAACTTTCATGTTAGTTGGCAGTATTGAATTTTGCAAATTTTGTGGTTATAAATTCAGAAGAAAGGTGGGCGCTGGTTGCTCATGCCTGTAATCCTAGCTACCCAGGAGGCAGAGATCAGGAGGATCTCAGTTTGAAGCCAGCCCAGGCAAATTGTTCACAAAACCCTATCTCAAAGATACCTTACAAAAAACAGGCTTGGCGGAGTGGCTCAAGTGGTAGAGCACTTGCCTAGCAAGCATGAGGCTTTGAGTTCAAACTCCAGTACCTCCAAATAAATAAATTCAAAAGGAAATGGTGTAAAGAGATCAAATGAGTCAAATGCAGAAAAAAAAAAAATTCAAGTCTGGGACTGTAGATGCAGCTTTTTCATTAACCACCAAAGTAGCCTCCCAAGTAACCTCTCTGGACTTTCAGAATCCTTACCTACGAAAAAGGTGGAGCAGGTGTTCAAGAACGTCCCTTAACAATGACGTTAATCGAATTCTTCGACTCTAAGTAATTTTAGCATTGTTCACTATTTTAAACATTGCAAAAAGTAACCTGGGGTTTGATCAGAATTTTTTTTTTAAAAAGAGGAAGACATGCAATGAAAATCAATCATGTCCTTCACACCCCATTGGGTTCCAGGGTGTTTGCAGCACTAGGAGATAAAGATATCTCGGGGAGTTTATGTCGTACTTAAGGCTGAGCTGCACTTTGGAATCCCGAGGCCTTCCTTTTCACCTCGTGGGCACACAGAACCTTGATACCTAACAACCTTCCTAAAAAAGACAGTTTCAACCTCAAAACGTGTCACTCCCGCCAGCCTGACAAAGACAACTCAGGCAGACAGAGTAAACAGAAAGTGAGTTGGCCACACAACTCACCTACAAGTTCTCCAATCATGAAAAGCAAGTAAAGAACGGCAGCAATGGTCAACCTGGTTTTCACCTTTCTCTGCTTCAGCAGCTCTCTCCGTTTGCTGCAGTTGTCACAGGGGTCCATCTTCAAACTCAGCTGACTGTTGGTCAAAGGTAAGTCCTGGTCCAGTAAGGAGTCATCGTCGGCCTGGAGCGCCCCGTTAATAGGCCGTTCTGGGGTTTCCGAGTCATCATCGGCCACCACGACTCGAAGTTTATTAAACCGAGAAAGCCCCTCGTCCCCCAGCTCGTCGGAGAAGTCAAAGGCGCTGGTGTCATTTAGAAACAGCGGCGCGTCGTCCTTCCTTAGCAGAGATTTAAGGCGTTTCCACGCGCCGGAGCCGGCCATGGCAGACGCCGGGGGTCGCGGCCGAACGGCTCGGGGACGGACAGCCGGCCGGCGGCTCCTACTTCACGGCCGTGCGTGTTCGCGACCGCAGAGCCGCGCGTCCCTCCCCATCCTGGAGAAAACGAAACGCGTTACCCACGAGAGGCGCCCCCACAGTGCCCCCAAGTTCGGAAGCCGAGGGCGGCGGGGCAGCAGGGCCGGCCCGAGGTGCCCCGGGCTCCGCTAGGGGGCGAAGCGCCTACCTGGGGCGCTGCCACGGGGCCGCCGCTCATCTCCCCGCACCGCGGCGGGCTTGGCGGGGGCCGGCTCGCGCTACTCGGCCCGGGGATGGCAAGGGAGTGGGCGGGAGGCCCTGCTCGCGCCTGCGGCTCAGGGCCAGCTCCCCGGCTCTGACAGGCTCGGGGCCGGCGCCGTGGCCGCCGCGTCTCCCCGCCCTGCGCGTGCGCCGGGAGAGCGAAGCGCGTGAGGGAGGGGTCGGCGCGCGGACGCGCAAGCCCGTGGCTCAGGGCTGGGCGCCCGCGGCTCAAGGATGAACGCCCACGCGGGCGGGGCGAGGCGGGGCTGGGCCGGGCCGGGCCGGGAGGGCCCCCTGCTCCTCGCCCTCCGCTCCTCGCGCGCTCCGGGTCCCGCCCACCTCGGTTCCCCCCTCCCCAGTTCGGCCTCCCCCCTCCCCCCAGGCGAGCACGCGCCGACTTAGGGTCTGTCGGCTAGGTGGGCGGATTTGAATGGTCCCCCCAGGGCTGGGTGCTGCTGCTTGGAGTTTCCCCCCACCCAAGATGGGCCTCGGAAATCTCGGGTCCGATCTTGGTTTGCGGATGCTCTGCCAAAATGTATTTGCTGCTTTCTGACTAGGGGGGGAGCCGAGCAGCTTATTCCCTCCTGCAGTTGCTGCCTTTCCAGCAAGTCGGCAGAAATTTGCTGCACAGCGGGTCAACTGGACTGGACAGGGCTATGGTCGCCTGCCTTCTGGGTCTCGCTCTATGTTTATTGTTGATCTTCAGCAAATATGTATTGTCTTCTGTGTGTTCACTGCCACGTTCCTTCTGTCACCCAAGGTATTACACTAAAGGTTAAAACCAAACACAGAAAACCTACTAGAGCTATCTGTTTGCCTTTTGGTGATGAGATATATATATATATATATATATATATATATATAGAGAGAGAGAGAGAGAGAGAGAGAGAGAGAGAGAGAGAGAGAGAGACTTCTGTTTAGCTATATATGTTTTTATATGTATATATAAAATAAAGAGAATTATGTGCTGAGTCTTAAAGATTAAAGTGTTTTTTTTTTTTTGGTGTGTGTGTGTGGGGGGGTGAGCTTCCTTCCCTCCTCCCAAGTGCAATTACTTTTTTTTTTTTAAGTCTTAAAGATTCTTTTTTTTCCCCCACCCCATGTCTTCCCATTCACACTACAGACTAGGCACAGAGCCTGTGTTGAAGTGAATATAGGGTAGGTTTCCTTTTCCTCCTCTTTGTCTTTACAGTGTAAGAACACAGCCTGTGATAAGCACCAGGAAGCCTTAAAGATTCTTCATCTAGGTTTCCTGGATGGGTTTAAGGGAGCTCTGTAGACCTTAATCTTTTTTTTTTTTTTTGGTGGTACAGGGATTTGAACTCAGGGCCTCATGCTTGCTAGGCAGGCACTCTACCCCTTGAGCCACTCCGCCAGCCCTTGTAGACCTTAATCTTAAATGCAAAATTTTGTGAGTGTATTCTTTTAAGCTTTCATTATATTCTCCAACTCAAGTTTAAAAATAACACTGTCAGAATAATTCAGCTGAATTTCAGTGCAAACTCCTATTTATCCTGTATTTTATAAATATTTAATTTTTGCAACAGTCTACAGGTCTTGCCAAATTTCAGGTCACACACACACACACACACACACACACAAATACAATAAAAAGTCACATGAACCAACATTTTCCTCCAAAGACTCAGATGACACTTAAGAATTGTGCCTGTCTCAAGACCAAGAGAACACTGACTGCTTTTGGATTCCAGAACTATCCCTCCTCAGTTCTGAGTGCCCATGATATTCCCACAGAGTTGCAGTCACAGTCAAGTTAGGAAACCTGGATCAGAGGACCTCCACCCCTTCCTAAAGTAGGAAGGGAAGTCTATTGTCCAGAACTTCGCTAACCATGACACTATGGTCATCAGCGAAGCATTTACTAAGGGTTGCTACTCTAACCCCAAATGTGTTTAATCCACCCAGTTTTTAAAATTCACTATGTAATAATGTCTGAAATCCTACTAAAGACAGCTATAAATGAAGCAAATATTTCAAGAGTGTCATCATATTCCTTTTGTATAAATTCTTCAAATAAAATTTTATCAAAGGAAAGGGGATGGCTGTTTTCAAGAAAAATTGAAATAACAGCTTGTATTGTGAGTTGGGGGTGTGGCTCAAGTGGTAGAGCACTCTGCCTAGCAAGCTGAGGCCCTGAGTTCAGATCCCAGTATCACACACACACACAAAAGCATGGGTTGTTTTGGGTGCTTCAGCAAGCTTCGTTATGCATCTCAGTTTGTTTTTATTTTTTGTCTCACTAGGTCCTGGAGAAAGTGATGGAAGACAACTCTGTATGATGATCCTAAGATATGTTCACAAGTCCTGTGATAACTCTGCCCCTCAGGAAGTGGGGTTTCATTCCCTTCCCGTTGCTTGTGGTGGCATTTAATAATAGTGGATGACCTATAATGAATAGAACATGGCAGAAGTGACTGTGACCTACAAGACTAGGTCAGGAAAAGCATCGCAGCTGCCTCCTTAGTCCCACTCTTGGATTTCTTGCCTACTTAGTCTCACTCTTGGCAGGGAGCCAGCTTCTACTTCTTGAAGAACTCAAGCAGCCCCATGGAAAGGGCTCTGTGCCAACAGCTATATGAGTGAATCTTCTGAGGTGGACCTCCTGCCCAGCAAAGCCTTCAGATGACTGAACCCTCACAAGGGTGACTTAGCCAGAGCTACCCAACTAAGCCACTTGCAGATGATTCGCAGAGACTATATGAGATAATATATATATGTATATATATATATATATATATATATATATATATTTTTTTTTTTTTTGCAATACTGGGGTTTGAACACAGGGCCTACATCTGGAGCCATTCCACCAGCACTTTTTTTTTTCCAGGTAGGGTCTCAAGCTGGCTTTGAACCACAATCTTCCTGATCTCTGCCTTCTAAGTAGCTAGGATTACAGGCATGAGCCACTAGTGCCCAGCAATAATAAACGTTTATTGCTTTAGAGTATTTTTTTACACAGAAATAAGAAACTAGAAAATTGATAACTATATATCAATTTTCCTCTGTATCAGGATTCCTTTCTTCTTCTCCTTTTTTTCCCCTCCCCTTTTTCCTCCTTCTCCTGCTTCCCTGACCTCTTCCTCCTCCTTTCTTTCTTTTTTGTTCATTCTTCTTTTTATCAGCTGTGCTCTTGTTTTTAGATCTGCCCTTGGACTAATGGCACGATTTCTATCACTGAACTTTAAAATGGGCTAAATAGATCTGCTAAAATAGGCTTAGAATGTAAATGCAATTTGCAACCTTATTTCTATTATTTAGAGTTTATAACAATAGCCAAATGAACTTCTGAAACATGACCCATTTATAATCTCAGTACTGCCTGTGATTCTGCTAGCTATCACTCAGTATACATTCTTTTCTGAGAGTTCATACTTCTTTTCAGTCTGAAGAACCTTTTTTTTCATGTCAGACAAAAAATTTCACCAGGTATTTAGGCCATCTTTGAACCAGGTGACCCATGGCATGAAGATTGTTTAGGTAATTTCTGAGGCCTGCCAGTTCAATTGAAAGATACATGCCTTGGGACATTCACTAGGAAACTATCCTATGCCAAAGTCTGTTTTCTGGTCCAGATATCTCTTGTGAAAAAAACAACAAAGCTAAATATTATACCACAGCTAACATTTACTTAAGGGTGATTTATGTGCCAGGCACTATTCAGAGACCTGACTTACACTAGCTTACTTAGTTCTTGCAACATCTCTAGGAAGAAGGTAGTGATTAAAAGCATGGGTCTTGGGGTTAGACTGCTTGTTTTTGAATCCTGGCCTCACTATTCACCATCACATGGTCTCTGGCAAACTACTTAATGTCTTTTTGATTCAATTTTCTTGCCTAACAAATAGGAATGATAATAGCACCCACTTCACAGGGCTGTGGTAAAGACTAAAAAAGATAATACATGGAAAGCACCTGAATCTTAGGACAAATAGTTCTAGCATATAGTTAGTGCTCAATCAGTGCCAGAGCACTTATTTCCCTGCAGGTGAAGACACAGAGTGTCATGGAGGTTAAGTGTCTTGGCCAGGGTCATGCAGCTAGTAAACAGAATAGAGGCTTAATTCCTGAGAGTTTTAGAGCTCAAAGTCTTAATTATTTCTGTTTCCCCCAGTTTCTTTCTTTATATACACAAATGCAATGATTTGCAGAAAAAGCATCTAGATTCCTGGAACCACCTAGGAGACCCTTGTTTCATACATCAAGAATTTGCTAGCACTTTGAGACCTCAGTATCATCGTGTAAAATCCCCCTTGGAAACTAGTGGAAAAGTTTTTTAAAATCAAAATATGGGAAAAGGGCCAAGGATCAAATGCTGCATATTCCTCACTCTGTGAATGCCTTTCTCTTTTCAGAGTATGTGACTTTTGTTTGTTTGTGTTGGCGGTACTGGGGTTTGAACTCAGGGCCTCATGCTTTCTAGGCAGGTGCTATACCACTTAAGCCACTCTACCAGCCCCCAGAGTATGTGACTGTAGGAGGTCCCCATAGGGTGTTTTGAAATGTGCCCCTTCCCCTCTTCAGAAGGGATGGAAGCTTTTAGAAGTGTAGGAGTTAGCAATGTGATACATAACTGAGTATAATGATTCTTCCTTCCATGGGATACTCTGAGAACCCGAGTGGACAAATTTTAATTTAACCCCTCAAGGGAGGATATAGGAAGGATACAGAATAGATGGAAGAATTTCCAGGGACAAGAAAGCCCTCTTCTAGCACAGGTAGGAGATAAAAGAGAGGGTCCTTAAGGGATAGGGATGTAGGCTTGAGTTTGATCCCCTAGAACCATGAGAGAGAGAGAGAGAGAGTGAGAGAGAGAGAAACCTGGTCCCAAGAGCCCATCTACCCTGTCAACTAAACCAACCTGCAAGCCAAAATCTACACTAATGCTTATTGTTTGGTTTTTAAAAAAATACCTTTCCCTTAGTTTTTAAAGTAAACCATAGGTTTCTCTAGCCAAAGGAACTAGAGGTCTCAGATGAGAGGGGG